GGGGTTGAAGGGAGGCACAGCTCAGCAGTGGCGCCGGCAGACCGGGGGAGCCAGGGGCGCCGTGGGGGGCGGAGTGCCTCGGCCGGCCCTACCGTCCCGTCTCCATGGCTCCGGCTTGCCTTACGATTGGCGCCGTCGGAAGGCGGTGGAAGCTGCGGGCCGATCGCGGGGCACCGGCGATGCATCGGCGTGCGTAATGGTCAACGTCGGGGGGCGCGGAGTGGGTTCCCCTGCAGAAGGCAAGCGTGAGGTGGGCCTGCCGGCGGATGCTCGGGCCGTGAAGCACGGCCAGCACGTTCCTTAACGTGGGCGGCTCGCCCTTCTGCAGTAGGGTGAGAACCAGCGCCCTTCTCCTCTGGCCCTCGTGAGCTGCATGTCCAGAAGGGGACGGGAAGGTACGGGCAGCCCCACCAACAAGGCCGGCTCCCCCCGTCAGGTCCCGGCCATCCCGTGTGTGCTGCAAGCTGAGGCTTTGAGGGGAAAATGACACGTCCCCCGAAAATAAGCCCCTGGGTGTCTTCTTGAGGAAAAATACATATAAGCCCTGTCTTGTTTTCGGGGAGACACGGTATTCACATCTGGTTTAGGGGCATCTTTCAGCGGAAGCGAGGAGCAAGCACGTGAGCAGATGGGGCTGCAAGTTGCTGTAAGGACTGCTCTCGGGGATTCCTTCCCCAACACAGAGCCCCGCATTCCCGCGTGGGGGAGGCCGGGGTGCGGGGGAGGCCGGGGTGCGGGGGAGGCCGGGGTGCGGCGAGCCACAGCCCCCCGAAACCGTCGGCCACAGCACCGCGGGGCCGGAGGGCTCCGCGCGGACGGGCAGCGAGGAGGACGCGGCGCTGGCGCTCACCGATGTGGGTCTGGGCCAGGACGTCGGCCAGCCGGTGGGCGGCGCCGCTGCCGCCGCTCTGCGTGGAGGAGGAGGAGGTGGTGGAGGTGGTGGAGCCGTGCATGGCCTGGCTGATCCAGTGCTCCATGTTGATGCTGCCCTGGCTGGAGGTCGGGGTGCCCTGGGAGTCGCCCTGCACCGAGCCCTCGTCGTCCGAGCCCGAGGAGGTGTCTGGCATAGAGAGGTGCTTGTTGTCGGCCGGCCGGCCGGCCGGCCGGGAGGCCGCCCATCCCCGTGCCCTCCCGTCCCCGCCCTCTCCTCGCCCACGGCAAACCCGCAGCCCCATCCTCTCGTTCCCGCCCTCCACGCCCCACGGCAAACCCACCAACCCCGTCCTTCCCGTCCCCCGTCCTCTCGTCCCCGCCCTCTGCACACCCCAAAGTGGACCCACCACCCCGTCTTCCCCGT